TGTGGCGATGACCTCGGGCCATGTCTGGGATTAGCTGACCTCTGTTATGTTTGGCTCTAGAGATACAATTACAAGAATTTCTGAAGTATGCTTCACTTTGGTGAAGACCAAAGAATGGTAGGTGAGCATGGGGAAGCTGCAGTCAGACACTATGGCGGTGACCAGCAGGTCACAGTCGCAGGATTAAACTGGCACCAGCCCCTCAGAAACGCTGTAATCTCTCTTCTAGAAATAGCATAGGTGGGTATAAATCCAACCATCAGTCCATCCATCCTTCTCCATTGTCCTGGTCAAGATAGGCATTAGTCACACCCTGTTACCATATCATGCTTAGCATGCGATGCCAACTTCAGCAGGACTCATCGGGATGTTAGATATTCGTCCGGCAGTGAAAAGCAGATATATATCTCTTTCTTTTTTTTTAGAAATCAGTTTTTCAGTTACTTCTACCTCAACAATTACTAACACACACCCCTTCTTTCAAAGCCCACACTCCAGTGCATGGAAATATATTCCTTTCTGTCAGAAGTCTCTCGTTGGTTCATGCATTGTTTAGAAAAGGCACAAGGAGAGGGAGCATGGGATGGATGGAACGAGCTCGGGAAAAGAAAGAAAAGAAGAAGAGGATACAGAACAGGAGAACCTGGCAGGGGCTAAAATGATTAGGATTAGGGAGAGGAAAGAGACAGGAGACTGAAAAGCAGCGTTGAAATGGCCATGGGCAGAAAAGAGTAAGAAACAGTCCAAATCAATGACAGCAGCATAGATAATTAATTAACCAGAGCAGTTCATTTATTAGACATTAGTAAACTGCCCTCCAGCAGGTCTACAGCCCTTCATTGTCTGCATGTAGAATCTAATCTGTCTTTTCTATCCCATTTATGCTACAGGTATAAGGTCTCTCTGGGTTATAGGGTGCCGTGGGAAGAAGAGACTCTTTCTGCAGGACGTATCATGTAATGGCAAGAAAGACCATCGTACTCCAAATCTATTGAGCATCAGCCTGCCAGGATGAAATGATTCATGCAAATGTGCTGAGCTACCTATCGGCTTTGAGCCTTGAGCTGAGCAGCCTGCGCTAGTCTCCTCAGGTAAAAACATCAGGATGAGCTGTGGCTTCTCCGGTCGAGGTCATTTTCAAGGTTGCCCTTGCCTTAGGATCGCGTCCTTTATGTCAGATGAGTTAAGGTTGATTGAAGAAAGTTCACGCCTCTGGAGACCAGAATTAGATTCTTTGCCCCAGCTCTACATGTCTGGGCTTTGCATGTTCTCCCCGTGCCAGCATGGAGTTTCCTTCAGTTTTCCCCCCACCAGTTGTGGAAGAAGTATTCAAATTTCATACTTAAGTAACAGTACAGACACCACACTAAAATGTTACTCAAGTAAAAGTAAAGGTCATCCGGTAAAATATTACTCAAGTTAAAAATACCTGTTTTTAAAGTGCTTCAGTAGAAAGTACTATACATTCAAATCTATTGATCTTGACAAAAAGTAACCTGTGTTAAAATTCATTCAAGACAGATCTGAATACAGCTTAGCACTGTGAGTTCACATCACAATAAGGAGTAAGTTCGTCACAATAAGGAAAACTGACTCACATGTTTTCTTTTTATTCAAAATAAACGGTGAAACTTGCCGAATTTTCTGTCGCAGATTAGCAGAATCACCTTTTTTATTCTGTGGAAAATGAAAGATTGGTCTATATTCCAGATTTAATAATGAATTATACACATATCACGGGCCGCTGATTTAATAAGACCCAGGGGTGCATGAACTGACTGAAACCCTCGTCCTCCACTATGGAAAATGGCTGAATACTGAATATGAGCATTTTATGGCATTTATGTATTGCCCCATTGTACATTATATGGATACAGTATAATAATTAGTAAATGTATATAGACATTGATAACCCAAGACTTCAAGGGGTGTACATTGTCCCACACAGTCCACAATTCCAATAACACTTCACTAGATGTTGTTTTGGGGTTATTAGACATTTATTACACCATATGTGCTATGAATGGACTCAAAGTGAATGCGCAGTGCACATGCAAACATTCAAAAATGTGTTAAAATTCACCTGTAATGATATCTGCAGACCCACGGGGTGAACCCCCCCGCCATGAACTCAGAATGCTGATCCAATATCTCCTTACAGTTGAAATAGCCTATTTTTGTAGCTATTATCAAAGCTAAACACAAATAGTGAAAGGGCCTGAATCACAAAACGGATCGGTGTGCATCACTGTCTGACCACTGGACATCACGAATCTGCAATTACAAACTGCCTAGCTCGCTTTTATATATATATAAATATATATATTACAGTCAGAAAACTGGATATTGAATATGAGGCTAACTTTGAAACAAGAACGTCTTTGTAAGACATTCCAAGATTGAAGTAAAATTTCATGAGCTGTGTCTGCCGCAACAAGTTCACATATGTGTGCACAACATTATTACTATATATAAATATTTCTTGAATATGTCTAAGTATTAAATGAATTATTTCTGGAACACAAAGAGGAGGGGTTAGGATTTATTCAGTTTACAATGATGCATGTGGAATTTAGCCATTAGAAAAAGCAGACTGATCACAAAGTATTTGTTTATATTCTTCCTTTCATCACAGAAAACACCAAAAAACAGCTTTAAAGGTAAATAAAAAGTCATTGCGCACATTAATTAAAACAAGTAACAGTACAACAGTGCACCAACACAGCATCTGCTAAATCTTCCTGAAGGTATTTTGCAGTCAAACAGGGGTGTTGATTTGAGGTGCCTTTCTAGCAAAAAATTTCTGGCTGAGAAGGTAAAAATCCCAGCCAAGATTTTGCTCCAACAAACAGTTGGGTACTCTGTGACTGAATCTTTTTATAGTCAACTGGTTGGTTGAAACAAAATCTTGGGTCGGGGTTTTTACTTTCTGGACGTGAAATGTCCATCTGTTCATCCATCCATTCATTTTCTGTAACCACTTATCCTATTCAGGATTAGAAAGGGTCTGGAGCCTACATTTTTGCATGGAACTCAATAGGTTTAATATAAGAATGTTATTGCCACCTAATGGCCAGAAATGGCTATGGCAACACACCATTTCACCGGTACATTTAATGACTTCAGGATGGCTTCACTTTGGATGGATTCACTTCGTCCTCATCCCCCATCACTAGGGATGTAAACCCAGCCTCTGCTCTGTATATGGAGTTTACATGTTCTGCTGTGCTACACTGGATTCTTGCTGCAGTCCAAAAATATGTGGTTACGTGCACTGATGTCTGTAAACTGTCCATTGTGTGTGAATCTGTGTGATTAGCATCCCATCCTGCATGTCCCCTGCCCTGTTCTTCCCTACTGTAACCCTGCACCGCGTACGCAGTCATGCAAGATGTCATACCCAGGGCTGCACTGACCACCTGGGATACAGTGCATTTTCCTGATGGGGCAATGAAGTTGTGGGCCAGAAAAATTTATTGTGCCCCCCCCCCCTCAAAAAATAATAATAATAACATGGCCAATTTTTAATCCCAGTTCAGCCGTGGTAATATCTTTAACTTAACACTCTTTATGAGTTTAAACAAAGTTTGTTAATGACACAACTACAACTCAATGGCAGTAGGGATACTTCACACAATTAACTAAGGAAGATGTCTAAGCAAAATGTAAAGCTCTGATGATGGTGTGACTGCAATCAGTGTGGAAATGTGTGATGATTCAGAGTAAACCATGACCATAGGTCTTTAATTGACTTGCTAGTGGCAAACAGCTGTCTCTCATCAGTGATCTGGTGCTGGTGAGACGGTGGTTAGAAAACAGGGGTCTTGTTGCCCCCCCTGGCCTTTCCAGGGAGCCTGCTGGCCCCAGCACGATGCATCCTGTGGCGGCCATTTTGGCAGATCTCTGTCATGCTGCATTACATATCTGTGAAAAGGGACAACTACAAAAGAAAAAAAAAAACAGAAAATAACCAGTACTCTACCAGTTTGGCTAGATCTACCCAGTCCTTGGGGACCCCCATAAAGTACATATTTGGACTGTTTGGCAGGGAGCTGGGAGGGACCACAAACGAGGACCGTCTGGGGATCCCTAAGGACTGCCAGGGTGACTGGGTCTCCTTCCTTGTCATTGCTCTCTCTAACTCTTGAGTTGCCTTGGATGTCAGGTGTTGACAGGGAGATTCATGGCTAATTGGCCATTTCACAATAGCAGAAAACTGAAAAAGAGAAAGCAGCTTTAAGGTCACTAAATAATACCTGTGTTGATATGTCTTTCTTTAAAAAAAAAAAAACTCTAAACAGCTCTCATGAGTGTTTTTAAATCATTCAGTCTAAACCAGCTAAGACAACCCCTCCCAATAATCATTTATCCCCCGTATTGGGTGGAGACCTCAACCCCCCAATGTTCCAGCCAAAGTTACGCCCTTGTTGGCAAGTATAAGTAAAATTTATTTAAAAGCACATTTTTAAAAAAATACTCAGATTATAAAGCATATTGCATTTCCTGTTAACCAGTGTATTTCTAACTTTACTGCTATGTTGGCAAAATTGGTGACGAAGTTATTCGGACATTTAACTGCAGTGAGGGGTGGTGCCGAGTGCGGGGGCGTGGCTGGCAGCTGCCCCTCTCCGATCTGATTGGTCCCGGCTGTCTCCCCAGTTTTATTTTGCTGTGAGTGTATCAGCCACAAAATGCGGAAGACAGCTTCCCCAAACGCACGTGAATGAGACAAGCTTAATTTTGATAGTTTTAAAGTATGTAGGCTTGCTAGCTGTGTAAGTACGGCTGGCTTAGTAACTTTAATTGTGCTGTTTTATTTTGTGAGCATAATACAAGTCCATGATAGTCTTCATTTTTCTTCTTCGGACAGCCGCTGTTCTGTCATAAAATCCTACCTATCGAGGCGTGATATCGAGCCTTTCTGCGCATGTGCAGTTCCACCGTCTTGGGATTATGGTTAGGGTTAGGTTTCAGGGGCTAGGGTTAGGGTTAAGGTAAGGGTTTTAGGGGGTTCGGGTAAGAGTTAGGGCTATCGATTAGCACTACGGTAGCATTTTTCGACAAGGCAGCATATATCGACAGAACACCGCCCCTTTGCCGGTGTGACAATGAAAACTATCCGTAGTATTTAAGACTTTGCAAATGGGACCGTTAGGTCGGTTTTCATTAGGATACAGTGGGTAAAACTATACCTTTCATATTAGTGATATATGATATAAAATAAATCATACCGGCAGATATGCTAATTAACTAAATCAGCTGGTTTACTGCTTGGTGTGTGACGTGGGGAGGCATAGCGGCTCCCTGCGGGAGAGAGTACATCATAAGGGTGTTATGTCTGCTGCGGCCATGGAGGACGAAAATTAACGCAAATCTTCCTTCTTGGTCAACACATGCGCAGTCCCCAGACCAAGGAACACACGGCGATATTTCATGAACGGACGGGGACATGGCGTTGCTGTCGGGGAATATTTCCATGAGATAACCGGGACGTGGGGAGGATCATCGTCTCAGGTGGGAAAAGACGAGCCGTGCGGGGAAGCCGAAGGTCCGCTGTATACTCGGACCTAAACGCTCGCACTAAGGGGTAACGTTATGCATATGGAAATGTTTTCCCCGTCGGCAATGTTTTATTATTGCAGAGACGCCCTTCAGAAATAAAATATTAAGATTTCGATTAGAGATGTATCGGGATAAGTTCGCTATAGTCTTGTGTAATATTAAATGCGTAAATTTAGCCTTTTGTTTCATTCAAATATTAGTCTGTAATGCGAGCAGTGAATGAATGATACATCTGAGTGTCATTGAGTGTACACGCATGCTAATTGCAATATGTATTTTTGAACAAATTGTCATATTTGTTTCATTTAATATTAGTTATGCAGTAAAGACATTGTCAAAATTATATTTTTGTGTTTGCCTCTGCAGAAATATGCGGAAACAGTAAGCGCCGCTGCGCTGTGTGTGTGAGAATGGATGTCCCAGCCGTTACTCACGGATATGAAAATGGCTGGCAGGGTTATGCGGGGTGGCCCGAAGGTGCCCATTTAACCAGTACACCAGGGGCATTTCCCAGCAGCCCCCCAGCTGAGTTTCACGCTCAGTACCAGGGTCTTCACAATGGCCCAGTTGGTGCTGCTCCTGAAGTCCCTCCACCTTTCTGTGGGACCGGGCGGACTGCACTGCCGTCTGTGCGGAGCCAGCGGCAGCCTGCCTGGGCTCCCTCACCGCCCTGCATCAATGGTGCGGCTCTGGCTGTCTAGCTCCTAATGTTGCCATACAGGAATTCCGCTATATGTACCTTAAACAAAGAACTGTAACTTTTCACAAATTAACTCATTTCAAAATCAGCCGGAGACTCTGCTGTTTTTATTTCTATTGTTTATTTAGAGTACAATTTATGATTGTGCTGTCAGCCAATATATTCAGCTTTTAACATGCCTATACTGTCATGTGAATTGAAAGACAGGGTCACCCACAGACATTTTTCCAGTGAAATACTACTCAGTCACTGCAGTAAACTTTGTTTTAGGTATTGGTGAAACAATGACTGGGAATTCAGTGTAACATTAATTACCAACTGTGACCCACTTGCTAAGAAATAAAATGGGAAAAACTCATATTATGTTTGGAAACAGGTGATAAATATTGAATGATGTTTTTGTGGAATTTGGTGTATTTCTTATTCATTGTTACTGTATGCTTTCCTCTCAGGTTTGTTTAATGGGCTTCACCTTGACTCCTCAAACTACAGTCATTTACCAGCAGGAGGCTGCCCTTACCTGGTGAGATGCTCATCTATGGTATTCAGGGAGCCTTTCCCAGGCAGCAGAGGCTCGTGGGAGTTTTACTTACACAGAAATGTTCTGTGGGCAGAAGGAAAACTTGGTTCAGAGAGATAACCAATTAGATTGTAGAGGAGGTGGGTCCAAGCAGCTAGAGGAGGCGGGACCGGACAATCAGATGGGATTTCTGTCACAGGAAATACATACACACACAGTACCTGCAATTCGTAGAGGCTAGTTATTCTAAATGCATGTCTTTATACATGGTAAGAAAATGCAAACTCCTCCGAAACACAGGAGAAATCCTGGAGGTGTGAGGCAGCAGAGCTATCCCCCATTCTGTTTCTATGTTCAGTAGTGGAGGCTGTATGTGGGAGCAGATTTGATGTTTCTATGTTCAGTAGTGGTAGCAAGGGGGCAACAGAGAGTAGAGAGTCCATAAGCAGGGGTGGAAAGGTCGCATTTTGATAGTTTTTTGCATCGCAGGACCACAGTGTGTCCAGCCCAAGCTGCGAGTCCCGCTATGGCCTGGACCCCAAGCTGCTGCCTAGTGCCGTAAATCTCCCATCTCTCCTTGCCGTTCTAGTGGCCCATGCTAAACATCTGCCGCCCTTCTAATTTCTCTGTTCCTCAGACGTTCCCTCTTCCCACCTCCAGGTACAGATTATGCAGGATGACAAGGCCGAGTGGGAGGGGAAGGTGTTTGCGTCTGAGCCCACCGGCCCCCTCCCCCCACTGGCCACCACCGACTGCTTGATGGAGGACAGAGGTGTGGCTGGTGACATCGCACGCATGGCTCTCGGGGACACCCTGGCCCCCACTGCGGTCACACGGTGACGAAATCTGGCAACAGCTCTTGTCCGGCATCCATTTCTGACACCGCGCCCTCCTGCTCCTCCTCCCTCAGGGAGTGCCAGCCCCCACTTCATCCGCTGCACCTCCTACGCATTCCCCAGCCAGGCTGCTGCTGCCCAGCAGAGTCACCTGCCCCTGGGTGCCATAGTGGCCCCACTGGCCAGACTGAAGGAAACTGAGGTCAGTTTCAGTGCATGAACTTACAATATGAACGTCATCCAATCCTAGGCGTCCCTGTGTTTCTTGGTAATGGGAGTTTTACCTATACAAAAATGTTCTGAGGGCAGAAGGAACAATGATTGGTTCAGAGAGCGAACTAATCAAATTGTAGAGGAGGTGAATCCAAGCAACTAGAGGAGGCGGGACCAAGATTGGCTGGTTGCTTGGACTCACCTCCTCTACAATTTGATTGGTCATCTCTCTGAACCAATCATCGTTCCTTTTGACCTCAAAACATTTTTATGTAAGTAAAACCCCCATGAGCATGTTTCTTGGGGCAGGCATAGGGCTCCCCATGACCTTGTCCTGGATAAGGGGTTGGATTGATAGACAGAATCAATATTTTATTGTTTTCAGAGGGGTCACTTGCCTTCTCCCGGGACTTTTTCCATCCTCAGTGCCCTCTGCCAGTTTGTGTCGCCGCCATGGACAAGGGGCACATACCAGGCTGTGGTGTCTGTGGTGCTCACATGTGTCCTTTCATGGCCTGGCAAGACTGTGGGCAGAGGTTTTGCTGCCCCTTCTGCGGAAACCTTAATGAAGGTACAGATACCCTAGAAACGTCCCTCACCCGCCTGCTTTTCTCAGGGCCCTGCAGGTCAGTGGTGTTGTGCCAATCGATTTAGGTTGGCATGTGCCTACCCAGAATTTTGTGAAAATGTAACATATAAATGAATTACTCAGTCAACCAATAACATGTCTACATGGACTATGAATAGCATGTTAAACTTGGAGTAAACTTGCAGTCAGGGTAATCTGGCCAATGAGTAAGCTTCCCCCGTGAGATTGCATCTCTTACCTCCGTCCCTCATCATTCTCGTCTTTTACGATAATTCCACACATCATCGAGTTGGCATGTTGTGACATTCAAGACTCACATCTCAGTGGCAGAAAACAAGGTTAGCTGTTTGAATGTAGTAACTGCGTGTGTGTTTTTGTCTTGTGTGTGGTTTTGAAATGGTGCCTACCCACAAATTCGGTTTGCACAGTACTGCTGCTGAAGATCTCCACCAGTGTCTCTCTGTCTGCCCCCCCCCCAGTTCCGTGGCAGTCTTACCAGCCCACTGGCTGCCAGGGGAAGAGAGTGGACAGTGAGGAGAATCCTGAACTAAGCTGGGGATCGTACGAAGTCCTGGAGATGCAGAAGGTCGGGGCCCTGCCAGAGAATGTGTGTGTGAGTGTGCAGACAAGGCTACGGCGCTGTGCTCACCATGCGCGTGGCATGTCTGCAGGGTCAACCCCCAGGGCTCCTGCTGGCCGTGGACGTGTCGTCTGCTGCAGTCCGAGGAGGACAGCTGGAGCTTGTCTGCCAGCAGCTGCGCATGCTCCTGGGCTTTCTCACCAGGTGACACGCACACACACACATACGCATACATACACGCAATCACACACAAGTAAATTAGTAACCTGCGCAAACCTTGCTTCGCAATGTATTATACATCCATACATTTTAATTGACATTAATGAATGTTTCCAGAAATATTATTATATACATCAAACAAGTAATATACAAGTTACACATGCACATGATTCAGCAGCCACTTATCTGGTACAGGGTGATAATTTATATCTACGGTAATCTGTGGCTGCAAAGAGTCATACTCAACATACATAAGTTATTTCTCTACCGTGGCTGACTTACACGTTTATTTCATAAAGGGATGAAGCTGGGGACCAGTCAGACCTAAGACTGGGCCTGATGACCTATGACAGGAAGGTCCACCTCTATGACTTAAGCCCCGCCCTGTCTCGCCCTCATATGATGGTCGTCATGGATACGGAGGAGCTGGAGCTGCCCGTGTGGGCGGGGCTTCTTGTACCACTAAGAGACTGCAGAGACAGCCTTGATAGGTAAAGGTCGTCTGTTGGGGTCAAAGTAGAGCAGCATTATTGCATATTTATTTGCAGATTTGCTGTCTGATGAAAACTGTGTATGTCCCTCCTTTTTGATGATTTGTGAGTTTTTAGTATAGTATAGTATAGTATAGTATAGTTGGAATACTGCCACTCTCCTCTGTCTATTGATAGTGTTTGACATCTAAGTGACCTATGTAAAGATGTTTTATGGCATCATCTATTTAATCAGTGTTTATAATTGTACTATTTGACATTCACCAGTATTCCTTATGGTGGTTCGTATGGATGACATTATAATGCTAATTTTAACAATTAATTGTTGATATCTGTATAGTTATTTCGCAGACATTATTACATTAACAAACATTATTGTTAATTGTGTATATAAAGCGAAATTAGTTTATATCTTGCTGACACTGACATATTTTGACAGTCTTCTTAAATCCATTTAAAACCATTAAGTTGTTCACGGATGGCTGTTTCAAGATAGGTGTCTCATTACATTATTTAATGTTTATTTTGTAATTATCTCAGAAATTGCGTTTTGTGATGCTTTGGATTTTTGGAGTTACGTATGTATTTATGGGGCCCTGTGAATTCCGTCCAAATCTGGCCAGATGTTGCCTAGTTACTGTAAGGCTCGTTTCCACCGTAAGAACTTGGGCCAGTTCCCAGGCCCCTAATTGGCCCTTTCAGCCTTTTGTATCTCCACTGTGGTGAGGGAGCCAGTGATGCGGGGCTCCATTCATGAGTGACCCTAACTTGCCTGATACTTTTATTTAACGTGACCAAGACTTGAACTGCCTATATTAATATAGACAAAATGAAGCCCAACCCACCTCCTGACCTGCTTTGTATGCTTACATTTTACATGCTTGAATTCATATGCTTAAAAACTGCCTGCAAATTACCCAAATAATCATTAAAAATATTTTTGTCTGACTTTGACTCGTAACCACGGGTGCAGACCAAAAACTGAAACACGCCTAAAAACTGAGGTGTGATGAGATGCAAACAAGGTAAAGACCCCAGAACTAAGTTTTTATAAGCTGCTGAACTGAAAAAACGAGCCATTAAGGAGTCTAAAGTGGATACATGCAATTGAGACAGAGCTCAACGTGTCGTACTCTGAAAACTAAAAGAGTTTTGTCCTTTTAAATGCTCATGTTTTTGGTTCAACTGCTTATAAAAAAGTATTCGAAGCAAAATATATATATATATATTTATAGAAATAAGATGGAATTTCATGGGGGAAAAAGGCAAATTTCATAGGGCCATTTTTTGTACTATATAATTCAGTAACTGGTAAGTTTATTATTGTATAACAAGCAGAACCTGGTACTGTGAGCCTGTATTGGATAAGCAGTTATGGAGAGCGGCTGGGCCAATGGAAGCAGGCTGTTATGGGCTCATGGTGCTTGGGGTTGGTTAGCGTTCTCCAGCAGGTCCCCCGCCTCGCCATGGAAGCAGAGGACAACCCTGGGTCCCAGGAGCTGCCAATCCGTGCAGCACTGCGGATCTTCCAGGTGACGCACATCCCCGTCCTCACAGACTGGGGCCGCTTGCGGATTAGCCCCCTCTCACACGTCCCTGTATGTGTGTGTCCCCAAAGGCACTGGGGTGTCCCGGGAAGCTGCTGGTCTTCCATGCGGCGCCGCCAAGCGATGTCACACTCACACGCGGGCCCTCAGGATTCTTACGGTCCGCGAAACCCAAGGTGCGTGAATCCCATCCGCGTTTATTAATGGACCGAAAACACGCAGAGAGACATCCATGCCGACCGTCGTTTTTGCTTCGTGTTTCAGTCCGTGTTCCAGCCGCCGGATGCTTGCATTTCATTGGCTAAGGAGTGTGTCAGTCAAGGCTGCTCCGTGCACCTCTTCCTGTTCTCGCAGCAGGATGTTGGCAGTGCATGGCCAGGACACACCACGCATTTCACAGGGGGAGGATTCTTCCCTTATAACGGCCTTCAGGTACGGCAGTGCCAGTGGTATGATTATAATTGGCGGCTTTGAGTGTCAATCAAATTGAAGTCCCTCCTTCATTTTTCCTGCTTTTCAGTCAGAGGTAGACAGGGAGCAGCTCAATCGTGACCTGAGGAGGTGTGTGGAGACCAATACGGCCTACAAAGCTCAGCTCAGAGTTTTTGTCAGCAAAGGTTCAGTGCAAACATTATACACCATTTATGCTTTTTAGCCTCCCTTAAAAAAAGCATTATTCCTTAAATATGCATGCTGTTCCGCAGGCCTGCGTGTGTCTGGCTGTTACGGCGCGTTCATACCGGGCCCTGATCCCACCCACGTCTCCATGACTGCCCTGGACGGGAGCACAGCTTTAGCCCTGGAATTCAGTCACGACGGCCCGCTGGATGACAGGAGGGGCGTGGTCATACAGGTACCAGCGAAGGCCGACGTCTGCGGGAATCCCTGCTGAGACATGCCTGTGTCGTACAGGTGACCTCACACTGTCATGCTCCCCGAATGCATCTAGGCTGCTCTGTCATACACTAACGCCAAGGGGGAGAGGAGGACGCAGATCCACAGTCTGGGTGTGAACTGCTCAAACGACCTGCTGGACACCTTCCGTAGCTGCCAGGCTCAGACGCTGCTAACGTTCTACTGCAAGAAGAGTAAGGAAGCCCCGCCCACACATACCTGGTTGCTGTGCGTCGGCTAAATATCCATGATCAAAAACTCCAGATATTTATTTTGCACCACGTTTGACAGCATCCCTTGATGCATCTTTTTGTGTGTTTGTCACAGTGTATGCCAGAGCTCTGGAGCGCCCCCCACAGGAGCTACGTGAGGAATTGCAGGTGGAAGTGACCCGAGCGTTGGCCTGCTACCGGAAGCACTGCTGCTCCAGTGTGGTCACACATGGTCAGGTACGGATGGCGGGGGTAGGGGGGGGGGGGGGACCGACGAAGACTCATAGCATGGCACGTGCTACACTTCCTCTGGCGCCCTCTTGTGTTCAGCTGGTGCTGCCTCAGTTCCTGAAGGCCTTCCCAGTCTACCTGAACAGCCTGCGCAAGAGCGAGGTGCTGCTTCCCGGGCTGCGCAGCTCCATCCCCCAGCGTCTGCAGCTGCGCAGCCGTCTGGTCAGCATGGACGCCAGGAGTACGGCCCTGTACTTTTATCCGCTGCTGCTGCAACTGGTGAGTGCCGTCCCCAGACCCCGGGGCCACATTGACAGCCGAGGTCTTCACTCTGCGTGGCTGTGACCCATTTCTTCTATCCCTAGCCAGTCCCTGCTGAGGAGTGTGCCGATCTCGCTCCGGCCGAGCCCGTGCGCTGCAGTGCCAGCAGCCTGGACCCGGCGGGACTCTACCTGGCCCACGGGCCCCTGGTGCTGCTGCTGTGGGTGGGCCGCTGTGTGAGCCCCGGGGCCTTAAGACAGCTCTTCAACACCACCTCCTTCTCTCTGCTGCCCCCTGGTGAGGTGAGGACAGGCCAGCGGGGTGGTGGAATAGGGGCTGGATGGAGGTGCATCTTGTCTGACTACTATTCCAGATTAGAATATCAACTACTAGATGGACTGTTTATCCCAGGCCCTAAAGCTGCACAATAATGATTAAAAATAATAATAATGATGCTTGTCCCTCTAATCATGAGGAAAGATGAGGCACATTCCCTCCCGCATGAGCATGTTTTTGTTTGTACATCCTCTAGGCTTGTCTACCTGTACTGGACACGCCCCTCTCTGTATGCGTGAGGAGCCTCATCGAGACGCTGCAGTCACACGCACCTTACTCACTCAAGGTTAGTGTCCTGACCATGCGAGGCGTCACACGGCCAATCGCACTCAAGGACTGAACACGAGGCCCACCGGAAGCGTCTGGGTGGCCACTGGCAACTCACTGAGCGTGTGTCTCTTCAGCTGCTGGTGGCCAAACAGGGAGAAGTCAGTGAGGAGGTTATCCAGCCCTTACTGGTGGAGGACAAGAGTCCGAACGGTGGGGCGTCCTACCCAGACTTCCTGTACCACCTGCACGTGAACTCAATGCGCCTGCTGCTGTGAAAACACAACAGCTCCCTCCAGTGTTGAACAACCCCCATGGTCTCTCCACCCTCTCCAAGAATCAGCGTTCCTGCATTTTGTCCCCTCCATATACGTGGTTTAAGATGTGCTCATTTTCAAAGCTGTCTAATTTACCAGGAAGCACTGGAACAGTACAGTGTTGCCAAATCTCAGTATGTGGAAGGCAGGACAGTCATGCAAGAACAAAGCAATAATTAAATATTTGCATTTTTACCAATTATTTTTCTAACATACAAGCCTTTGAAACTAAATGTTGATGTCATTTCCACCTACAAAATACTACTGTGTTCTACATGGGAAATCAGAATGATTTCTTGGTTCCCTCTTCATACCAGCTGTTCTGCATGTCCACAACGGAATAAACCAACCATCCGGATGTCCCTTACATGGTGTAGTGTCTCCTTATATATAAATTAAAAAAAAAAAAAACACACATTTTATACAGTCGTGGAAAAAATTAAGAGACCACTCCACTTTTTAACAAATCTGCATTTTTAAATCCTGGTTTAATCCTGGTTCTGGCAGAATGACATGCTGAGCAGCAGATTGCATCCAGGTTCTAAATTTCTCAGATAGCAGAACATAACAATAAGGTAAAAGAGGAGACACTGGGACTGACCAGAAAGCAGCCAGTCAGAGTGCTTCAGCGACATTCTAATGCCAGAGACGACCGTTAACTTATCCGACAGTTTCTCATGAATCGGAGGATGACATCATGACCTTCAAAGGGAACAGGAAACATTAAGTGCAGGTGTGAGTTGCACTGCTAGGACAGTTCACAGCAGCACTGAAAAACCAGGCTGCAGTTTACAAAACAAAATATTATTCACAGACACACACCCATAAATTGAGAAATGAGTAAAACAAAGTGTGCTGTGGTCTCAATTTTTTCCCACAGTTGTGTATTAAAATGATCCCAGGGGCCCCGTTAGCAAACACCTGCAGACCTCTGATCCACAACAGTTGGACAAGATATTTATTGTGGAATTTCAACACTTTGAGAGTCTGCATGGGTCTCAGACTATTAGATCACATGTCCCATGGGAATGTCCATTGGGAGTTTGTCCCCAAAGCATCTTCTCTTTATTCAGTACAGTCACACATCCAGGGCATTCCAGGTCACCAGGAGGTGATCACCCCAGGGTTCCACCGGTTGGAGACCCGGCCTGGCCCTCACAGGTACTTGTACACCACTCTATCCTTCACCATCTGTACCTCCATCTTCACAGGACACTTGTAGAAGTAGGACAGCAGGGCCTCAGTATAGCCTATAAGGAAGTAGATCTTCTGAGGGCCCACCTTCTGGACCAGAAGTGCACACACCACCAACACATTGCCTCTGCGCTTGATGACCAACTCGTCAGCCAGGAGGCCGTGAAATGTACCAAAGATGAAGCGCCTTATAAAGACGTCCTCCACCGTCCTCTCGGCCGCGCCGGCCTCTCCTTCCAAGTTACCTGGGCATTCGGAAAAGGAAAAGTCAGCTTTGGGAGACCGAAAGGCAAAGACAAGGGGTCACAAATTCCCCCTTTTTGTGTAGCCTGTGCTCGTTTAGATAGGCATTATACAAATGATGTGGTCTTTGGACTCATTTTATGCTTGAACTATGTCATGTGTTCCCTCAAGCAGCATGATGTCTGGGACTTACTGGTGTGCTGAGACAGCCAGCCCTTGCGATGAGCAATATGATGAGGGTGAAGGGCCTGTTCGTATGTCACGGGCTTGTCCCTTTTACCAACACGGATCCTGGCTGCATGGTGCTGCAAATCGAACAACACGGTGAAATACACAGATGCGAAAACTGACCCTGAATAAAACACTAGTCGGTGGCCAGATAAATGAAACGCCGGTAAAATGGCTATGTTGCTGATCAGCGCCAGTTTGACACATAAGCAACAGACGAAAGTCACGCTTATATAACTGGCAACGTTTTTCCACCCTACACTACGAAAATATAAAAAGGCCATTGTCTTGACAATTCTCACAACGCATAATATATTTCTGAATACATAAGATTAACAGAACTGCAATATTCAAACAGTGCTAACAAATCACTAAGAAGCGAAAAGAAAACGGGCATTTAGGCACCTTGTAGCATGTAGCGGTTGCATGGATGGCTCGTAACCCATGGGTAACGCAGATCGCACTGCTAATCCGAGATAAAGAGTTCTGCAGAAAAACAACAGCGACAAGTTTAGCTGATGCAGCTTTCCAGCTAAGACATTTAACTGATTCATACGCCCGGCGCGAAAAACATTAAATATTCGTACATTACGTTCAGCAACAACAGTCTAAGCTCAAAACATGTAAAATAGCCGCGAAATATACGTATAATTTAAATGTATTCCGAAATAATCAAGATAATGCACTAAATTATTGTTTATAACAAAAGAAAAGTCATACAGCCAGGACAACGCTTCGCGTTCCGAAGGACATCGCCATCTTGAAGAGGACGGATCTTTATTGTTGTGCGATCTCATTGGAGGAAATTGAATGGGCGTGGCTTTCACCAACCAATAGCTGCAGGGGGTTGCTCTTGTTCGCACAAATCCCAGTTCACTCACCAATGTTCGCCGATGTTCGTATGAAATCGTCGGTTTCTGCGCTTCGTAAAAAATAGTTAACGGATAATTGTTTTATTTGATTCGTCCACATGTTAATTTAGTTGTCACACAGATATTCCTGGCAGTTGAGGCTGCTGACAGAAATTTTTAGTGAAGCAAAATCTACATTGACCTCCCGTTTAATTTCAAACCTAAATATATATTAACTATTACAATAAATATTATAGTAAAATGAAAATGTAAATTACATTGTAGTCCTGAACATTTTCCAATGGTTCTAGTGCTTGAGGACAGCATGTGGCGCAATGGGCTAAACTTGTGCAGTTGTAATCATAAAGGTAACCAGTTTAAACCCAACCTCAGCATGTGTGCAGGTCCTTGAGCAAGACCCTAACCCCCAGCTCCCTGGGTGCCCCAACAGGTGACTGCCCTTCACAGCCAGCTTACTCTACAAATAGTGCAAGTTTAGGGAGGCATAAAGACAATTTGCCCACAGGGATCAATAAAGTATCTATTATTAAATTTCAGTCCAGTGTAGTTCTATTTAGCCTGTTTTCACATCTTCAATTGCCTGACGGTTAACCTGGTGAGCTGAAATTGATGCTGACAAAAATTGTTTAAGTTTTGAACAGGTCCACTTTTCTCTGAAATACCATCATTATAGAAAAACAACTAAAACTGATAGAGTAACTTCAGTAAAATATCAGTAGGCTACACAGCTTTACAATGTTTTTGGTTTACGCACAAAAGCAGACTTCACCATTAGGCAAGGTAGAGAACTAGAAGACAGAATTTCCAGAAGTTACATATAAGGATGTAACATAATATGATAATTTAAGTTATAGCAACGTGTCTATTATTCGCATTTTTAGCGACAGTTTTCAAGATAGACCAAGTTGCCCCCCGTCCCAGCTGTAATGGACTATTCCACTTCGAGATTTATTTCCACATTCTATGCAAGTTGTTTTGTTGCCAAGCGAGTCGCTAAAAAAACCATGTCACCCTAAATTCCCCAGAAGCTGGTCCACACTTTCATGTGGAACACAAACACACCAACGAAAGCCAGAACATCTCTGCAGCTGCAAAGCACATCTATCAATTTCCTATAGTTTCTTTTGTAGTTCTGTTGGCTAGACGCTGAAGACACACATCTTCATGGAATACAGCATTTAATTCTTCAAAACAGGATCGATGATCCCGTGTCAATGTGAAGGTGCAGATTTCGTTCACCTAAACAATTCGTTCTGATTCGTTCACCAGCTCGTTCAGTGGCACTTCCTGTTTGCATGAAATAGATCTGAAACACTGTGTTTTATTTATTTGTCTATTATTTAGGCTAAATAGTGCTAAGCAGTAAGCTAAGTATAAATAATAAGTCATGCGAGAAATAATATTTATCGAATTATAGTCTAAGTCTCTCAACATTGTACCTTAGCTACTCATGGTAGTTAAACACGCAAACCTAACACCTCATCACATAGTCAGCTAACGAATCCAAATGTTAACAAACCTTGGTTAAAGTCATTTTAAACCGTGAAAAGTCCAATTGCAATATAAGGGAAATCACTGCACATGTAGGCTATGTACTACCCCAGTATAGATGGTGTATTTCAGTCAGGACAGGTGCGGCGCTCACATTCCGTAGCCTATCCAAGTGAGACTCACTCACCAACTCAGTCTTTCATTCACTGGAAGCATATACATTCAGTCCCAGGTTTAGTTTGCAGCCAACAGTCGAGGTTGACAGTTATGTAAAAAGTTATTTTCAGTGGTGACTTCTGAACAAAATCTTCTCTGAAGCACTCTAGACTGCTCCCCCCCCCCTCATTTAATTTCGGTTGGGATGTGCAGGTAGATACTAAAATAAGGATTCTTTTGACCTGTTTTTTTTTTCATTTAGAGAATGTATTGTAATGCCTGGTGATTTACATGTTTATATTATTATAACAATCAAGACATGATCTAGTGCCAGGAAGGGTTGCCCGTAAGGGAGTGGAAGACCCTAACCCTAACCCTAACCCTAACCCTAAGCAAATGGGCCCAGGGCCATGGACTCACACCATTTTTTACAGTGAGAGCTGTACTTTTACAAAGGAAATACTCTAGAGAGCTAATGGCTCATGATGGTATATTTTGCGTTAGGTCCCCCTCTGTGTATTTTCTTGAAAGGGAAGGGGGTCTCCCTTGGTGTATTTTGTCAATAGGGGAGGGGGGTCTTCCTTGGTATTGGACGTTGTGATCCATTGGTTGACAACCACTGCACTAGGGAAATGAAACAATGGATTTTTCAACATTTGTTGTCAGAGTTTTCACTCTCATTCACTCTCTAAATGCCAACTCCTGTCGACCCAAGAATGAAATTTCATCCATTTCAGAATCTCCCAGTTTTTCCTCACTGTGTGTCGTTGTGGTGATAGATCAATCTATCAGTCCTCACTATGGTTCCCACTTTCAATCTGAAGAAATAAGAGAGGCCAACACCCCCATCCCTCCAGGTCTACAATCATAAAATGAGTGAGGGGAGGGTCTCTAGCGCGGTTCAAGAGTATGTAACAAATCACATTCCGTATTGATTAAGAAAGGAACACAGCATTTTATTTTCAGTATGGGACAATCCTGTAATATACTGTATGAGTGGCAACTGTAATCCTCACATTTCCCAAAAGACTTAATTGCACGACTGCACTGACGTGTTTCTTTTGCAAAATAAAATATCTGAACAAAAAATGTATTATTTACAGTATATACACAGGATTACCTACAATCAACAAAATCAGTATTTACAAATCATTTAAAAAAAAATAGAATTCTTGACTCTTACTTAGAGTACATCAATGCCTTGTTCACAAACTGAGCAGGAATAATGGTGAATGAGAGTTTATTTTGGCAGGTGACTGACCTCACGTTCTGAATGGTTGACTTGTGTCAGTCATCTTTGGGTCAGGAACGAGCAAAAACACAACATCAGGGAGTAGCACTGATTCACTGGGGAGGTTTAAAAAGCAACATATTCCAATCAGCTACAAAATAGAATGTGATATGAAATACATTGAAGTCTAAAAGCTCATTGAAGCAGAAAATGTTTTCCTTCACAGAAGTTCCTTTAATCAAGCTAAGGGTGCTGCTGTTTACCACAATACTTTGTCAGACATTTTTTGAGCCACTGCACTTTTTTGGTTTCACATCACCGTTATTCCCATTACAAGACCGGGGACCTGAAGAAAATTTAGCGGGGTGTTCAACCTTGTAATTTTACTACCTGACTATGTTCCTGATTGGTACCAAAAGCAATTTTTATTTTTTTTTTTCGGGGGGGCGGGGTTCATACCCATTATTTTACTATATGGCTGCATACCTACATGGTTTTATGTTACTGTTTTACGTGAATGTTACGTTTCATTTCTCTCTTTGTTATTGAGGCATTGCTTCCCCTGTTTTCTTGAAGAAATATATATACATGCAGGATATCATTGGATCCGGAGGGAGATTGGAAATGCATGGCAGTTGTACTGCAGCTCATTCTGCCTATCTGTTACAAGCTGAGTGAATACTTCCACTGCCATGCTGAACGTTCAGAGTAGATTTTCTGAATTCCTAACTGTTCCCTTTCCTTCAATCATTGACCCATCTATCCCAGTTGAGTTAGCTGATGTGGTTGCCATTATTGCTCAGTAAGACCTTTACTTTTGTCCTGCTCAGTGTGTCGTCATGACTGCGCCTGCCGCAGGAATCTGAAATGTGTAAAATCTAGAACTGTTATGAAATGCAGGCTATAGTGAGCAATGCCACAAAGTGTGTTATATAATCCTTGGCAGAATACTCTGTTGGTATATTTTGTATTTATAGCGTGCAATAAACTGAATTTTTAATTGTGGTATATACTAATTTTGGCCCTGTTTGAATCCACCACTGTTGAAATAGTGATAATTCTAAAAATTTACATAAATTATCACTTAAAATAAAGGAAATAAAATGAACAGCTGCATATATGATGGCGGTTTCCAAACCTCTCCTTGAGAACGTTCAGCCGGCATGTGGATTTAATGTATTTCATCTGTAGCACATCTGACTGACAATAAGTGTATTGCAGTTAGTTGACTACTTTAATCAGAAAGTGGGATTGCAAAACTAGAAGAATATCAGAATGATTGGATACCATGGAGGAGGTTTGTGAATCTCTGGTATAGATTTCCAATAAACATCTCAGAGTTATCTCTGCACTGAAATTTAAAACTGTATTTTAAATTAACATAACTGATTCAATTGAATATGCTGCTTGATGACCCTGAGGACATATCCAGCCTCCATACTCTAATAATCAAATATGTTTTTTTCTAGAATGTCAGTCTCTATTTGATCATTATAGCACAAATAATTATATTTATCTAAATGATTTGCAAGTGCGTATATAACTCATGAGTTAATGTTCAGAGCGGCGTGTGCAGTTACGGCGAGCGGCCATGGGGTGGCAGTGGCGGGCTTTTGTTTCACGGGGGGGCGTCCGGCTGGCTGCAGCCCGAGCGCAGGGTGAGCGAACGTCGTACTACAGATAGACGCGGCGGGGAGGCGCGCAGCACTCGGCTCAGCTCGCCAGCGAAGCTCGGCTCTGCGGACCCGGCGGCCACCTGCTACCGGCCAGCGGCGAATCTCCTGGGCAGACACTACGGGCGCCACAGTCGCCGAGCGATAAGGATAGTGCTTCGGAGGCGGTGTCACACGGCAGCGGGATAAGACATGGCTACCACGACCTGTACGCGCTTCACGGACGAGTACCAGCTGTACGAGGAGCTCGGAAAGTAAGGCTGAGGGATATTCGCTGGGCTCGGGCTCGGGCTCGGCAGCCGGGCGGTGACGGGGCTGTGTGCGGCCGGCGAGGGCGGCGTAGACGCTCGGCTGTCGGGGATAATGACAGAAACCGGGGGAAGCGCGTCGCTGGGCGGGCGGGATGCGGCTGACTGTGAGCCCACTGCCTCCCGGCTCAGCCGCAGCTACGAGGTACCCGAACCGGGGGGGGGGCGGTTTCAGTCGGGGAGTCTCTAATACGATGGACGCCGCCTCCGCTCCGGGGCGGGTTTAGGTCACTTTTAAAACGTCCCCCGTGCCGTCGGATGGATAATCATCAGTCGGTCATTACGCCCGATAACCGTCAACCAACAGTCAGTGTTAAACAGCGTCGCTTGGTTGTTTATCTCCTCGGCATGTAATGATTTCTTACCGATTCAGTATTTTTACTAAATATTTGGCCTTCTTCACGTGCCCGTTATGAAACACCGCGCTGACGCCGCGCGCTATGATTGCGGGGCTGGCGGCGCGAGCGAGCGAGCGAGCGAGCGAGGGCGGGGGGGGGGCGCTACAGCGATCCGCCTGCCCGCCCACTCCGGGCCGTTTGGCGGGGGTGGGCTCACCGATCGCTGTACGCTATGCGGTGTGAGCCCGCTTCTCCGTCTTCAGGCAGATTGAAACGTTAACGCTACTTGCGGAGGTATCCTGGGATAATGCTGCGCTCCCTCCCGTTTGCGTGCACTTGCACGCAGAAGCGCCGCAGACCTTCATATTCCTGACAACATCCATATCATTGCACAATCCACTTGACACATTTACATTTTATTTAAATGCTGTTAATTTCGGGGGTTGTCTCCTGACACGTGACCCGTGTTTCCTGCGACGCATTCCGTACTCCAGGCTGGGTGCATTAATGGATGCATACATGGACATTTACAGAAATATATCACCAGTAACAAAAATGCTTCTGATAATGATGCAGCACATTTTCAATGTACTGTGGCTCTGGATAAGCATCAGTTAAATTACTGTAAATTGGTTTCACTTACAGAGGAAAAAACAGACATTAGATGACCCTTCACTTTAATTATTGAAGCCAAAACTGTTTGTCATCCAGGAGAGAAAAGCAACAAAGTAGGTAAACGCTGTGATGAAAATGTAAGGCCTGCAGCCACACCCAACCAGACCATGGCCAACCTCACCAGTACTGCAGGCACACATGGTTTTCATTGCTTGATTAACGTAAGGGAAATCTAAGAAACCTGTCTAAAGGCCCTTTATATGTTACTGAGCATGCTACCTACTCAGCTGTTGGCTTGCTGGGTTTCTGGTTGCTTGTCCCTGGTTTCTACACTTCTTTTAAATAAATAACCTTATTTGTTGATTGCGATTTGGCCTTGGTATTTGCAATCCTCTGGATTGGTTTGTGAATCAAGCCTCTGTTTTGAGACTCTCTCCAGTGCTTGCTTGTCTTTCCTTGGTGCGATTCATTAAAACCATTTGCTCTGCACTTGGATCTCAGACCTCTTTCATTACAAAAAATGAAGACAGTAGTTACTTCAGGGTTCCTGGTGCTTGTCATTCACTTTATTAAATCATCCACTTAATTATCTAATGAGTGGAATAGAAGTGATTGATATGAACACAGAGACCATTTTCAGTGTTTGCTGGTGAGTAATACGTTAATGCCTCCTCAGTGCCTGTAGTAGCTGAATGTTGCTATTATTGCTTAGTTGTTTGGAGGACCTAGTGCAGTGTGTGTGTGTGCACTTGTGTGCACACGCGCACTCACGGTGTGTTCCACTGCACAGTTTGCTGCTTGATTTGTACAATTACCAGTTCCCTTGTTGGGAAAAAAACTTGTTTCAGTTATTTCTGTAGTGTAGAGAGCCTAAGATCTCAGCTTCTGGTGACGAGTGGGATGCAAGCGTATAAGGGCCAGCCTTACAGATGGGATGTGAGTTGATGTGCAGTCACTGTAAGGCCAGCGACGTGGCTTTGCCTGGAGCTCAGGGGCCTTGTTCTATTGGTGATGGAGCTGGGGACGCTCCCGTCTTGGTGGGGGGCCTGGGGTTTGGGGGGCGCCACGGCTGATGCGATTCCCTTCTCTCTGTTGCATCACAAAAAATGGCTACATTAAGGTATTCTTGGAATTAGTGTACATGGTACTCTATATGCTCCTTGGGGGTAGGCAGGCGGTGGTAGTTTGGTACACTACTACTCAAAAGATTCAGGTCATTTAGAAATGTCCTTGTTTTCCATGAAAACATACATGAAAATGAGATTGAATAGGAAATATAACTAAATAGGAAATAATCTTTTTTTTTTTTTAATTAAAATAATAATTGTGTTCTTTGCTTTCATCAAAGATTCCTTCTTTTGCAGTAATTGCAGCCTTGTAGGCCTTGAGCATTCTAAATGTCAGTTTGTTGAGGCAATCTGAAGAGATTTCACCCTGTGCTTCCTGGAGTATCTCCCACAAGTTGGATTGACTTAATGGGCACTGCTTACATACCATTCGGTAAAGCTGCTCCCTTAACAGCTTAATAGAGTTGAGATCCAGTGACTGTGCTGGACACTCCGTTTTATACAGAATATTAGCTGACTGCTTCTTCCCTAAATAGTTCTTGCATAGTTTGGAACTGTGTTTGGTTTGGGCCATTGTCCTGTTGTAGGATGAAATTGGCTCCAATTAAGCGCCGTCCTCAGGGTGTGGCATGACGTTGCAGAATGGAGTGACAGCCTTCCTTCTTCAAAATCCCTTTTACCCTGTACAATTTCCCACTTTACCATCACCAAAGCAGCCCCAGACCATCACATTGCCTCCACCAGGCTTGATAGATGTCGTCAAGCAGTCCTCCAGCATCTTTTCATTTGATCTGTGTCTGACAAACATTCTTCTTTGTGATTCCAACACCTCAAACAGATTTGTCTCTTCATAGCAATTTTTTCCAATCTTTTTGCAATTCTGCCTAAAAGGTCAGCATCCTGGAGTTGCCTCTTCACTGTTGGTGTTGAGACTGGTCTTTTGTGGGTACTATTTAACCGTTGCCAATTGACAACCTATGAGCAGAGGTGGAGATTTCAGGTCCAGAGGGTACAAATCCAGACCAAGATTTTATTTCAACCAACCAGTTGAGTATAAAGAGTCACAACTGGTTGGTTGAAACAAAATCTTGGTCTGGACCAGACCAGAAATCTCTACCTCTACCTATGAGGTGTCTGTTTCTCAAACTGCACACTCTAATATATTTATACTCTCACTCAGGGTTCTCCCTCAACTCTTTCTATTATGGTTAGAGCCAGTTTGCACTGCTCTGTGAAGGCAGTACTACACAGCATTGAACAAGATCTTCAATGTCCTGGCAGTTCCAGGCATGGAATAGCCTTCGTTTCTGAACAAGAATAGACCGACGAGTTTCAGAAGAAAGTTCTTCCCTTCTGACCATTTTTTGTTTATTGAACTCCCAATTGCTGATGATCCAGAAATTCAACTAGTCCAAAGAAGGCCAGTTTTATTGCTTTTTTTAATCAGCATTTCATCTGTGCTAAAATAATTGCAAAAGGGTGATCAATTAATGATCAATTAACCTTTTAAAATGATAAACTTGCATTACCAAACACAACATTCCACTGGCACACAGGACTAATTGTTGCTGATCATAGGCCTCTGTATACCTATGTAGATATTCCATTAAAAAACGTCCGTTTCAGCTATGATAGTCATTTCCAACATTCACAACGTCTATACGGTATTTCTGATCGATCTGATGTTATTTTAATGGCCAAAAAAAACCGTGCTTTTTCTCAAAAGCAAGGAAATTTCTAAAGTGGCCCCGAACTTTTAAACGGTAATGTAAGTCGGTGCCTCTTCAGAAGATGGTGTTTTAGGCAGCCGCCTGTGTTGCCTAACTGGCATTACTGACTCCCTTAATGAATCACGCCGGTTCCTGTAAGTGAACCAAGCCACGGCTCCCCTGTCTTTAATAGATGGTACGTTCTGCACCTGATAGAACCATGATGTCATTGGAGTAGCTTAACACCTCAGCGGTACGTGGGTGCTGCATGTGTGTCTCGCAGTGGGTGCTGCTAAAGGAAAACGAGCAGGCCTTTGCGGGACCTTGGTCTAAAGTTAAGATGGAGTTCTCGTCACTGGACACATGGACACCGTTCTTACACAGTGCAGCTGCACACTCTCCACTTCTACACAGGCCCTGTTTGCACTCTCCAGTTGTGGGCCAGCACATGCTCTGTAGATATTTTTAAAAGAGTCTTAGTGATTAATTGTCATTGTTGACACACTGCAGCACACAACGACGAAATGTGTCCTCTGCATTTAACCCATATGTGACATAGCATTGGGCAGCTAATTCAGCGCCCGGGGAGCAGTGCTTGGGGGCGGTACCTTGCTCAGGGTACCTCAATGGTGCTTTGTTTGTCGGGGATTTGAACCTGCAATCTCTGAATTAGGAGTGTGCTTCCCTAACCACTGGGGGTCTGCCTTGTTATCAGAAATCTTCCGGAGGTGTGCCTTCCAGTTTGGGCTCCGGAGGGCCACCCTCGCCATCAGGAGGTATCGCTCACACGTGCTAACCTGAAGCTCCTCAGCTTCATCACAGGGAGCCAGTGAAGACCTTTTCGATGACCTAACATTGTCTGCAATTGACATTTCAGTGGGGTGCTTAGAGATAAAAATGTCAGCGATATTTATAGTACGATGCGTGTACGGTCTTTCATTTCGGGTCACTCGTCTCTGACTCGGTTGACATGTCGGGCTTCGCACTGCTGAAAATGTCCGCGACAACTCCGAAGATGTTTAATTTCATGGTGTTCACATGGTTTGCAGCCTGATGTCCTCTCCACACTCATGGGGATTTCTGTCAGGAAACTGGCAACCTTCAGTCCTTAAGACTATAAACAGAAAAAAGACTTATCTGGCAAACAAGGAGATGAATGTACTTTCTCCATACATTCTAATTTAATTTTTTAGAATAATATTGCTATATAGCACTTTAATGATTTAGAGTTTAAAAAACACTTAGCGACGAGTAGTAAAATAAAGAGTGAGTGAATTAGGAAGTCCGTGTCCGTATGTGTGTGTGAGAGGTCATGCCTGTGTACAGTATATGTGTATATGTTTGCATTTGTACATTTACAGGCTTGTAGCTTAGCTGATTAGCCCCGTATTAGCTGATTAAGCAAAAAGTGTCACAAGGGAGCCAGTTGGACAGACAAAGCCAAGTTTTACGCTTCACAAATGTAGGCCAAGGTTAACGTGCTTTGGAAGGACACCAAAGTCTTTTTGCCATTGTCCCGTGGGGTTCTGCCAATGCGCAGGTTTAGCAGAAAAATGTCATGACATAATACTTCAACCTAAACAAAACTGCTTGGAGCATACTTCTTGTTCCTTGGTTCTGGGCTGCTGTGGCTCGCACTTGGAATATGACGTGGGTCTCGCCATTGTCTGGTGTGCTGTGGTCCGCGTGCTATTTGAATTGAGCTGGGAATTACTGCTGGGCTGTCTGTAGGATTGGACTCTCCGTATACACTTGCTGGGGGTCACCTTCTGCCAGAGAACACGCTAGAATCAGGAGAACAAGAGGGCAGTGACCCAAACAACACGGAAACCCAAGAGCAGGCCCCGTGTCCCTGTAAGATGGGGCTCTTTTTACCTCTACAGTATTTTTGTTGTGTCAGCAGTATCTGCAAAACACACTGTGCTCCTTTTTGGGTAAGCGTAACCCCTCTTTCTGTTTTCGGCTGGTCTGGGGGCCGCGGGCCTTGGAAAGAGCTAGATAGATTTTGCTGGACTCCCCTGCTAACTGTGCCCTCCCTTCTTCCCGCTTCTCCCAGGGGGGCGTTTTCAGTCGTGCGCCGATGTGTCAAGCTGTGCGTAGGCCAAGAATACGCTGCCAAAATAATCAACACGAAAAAGCTCTCCGCAAGAGGTAAGCACGGCAGGCAAGTGCCCGCCGAAACGACAGGAGGACGTCTCATTATGCAATCGTTTTTTGTTTTTTTTTTTCTGGTCGCATGTCTGTGATTCTGCGGGAAGTGGCTTGTGTGATCTTGAGAAATGTCGACGGGATGAAGATTAGCTGTGAGCTTGCGGGCTGCCATTCTACTGTAATAAGGAGCCTTTAAGTGGTTATCGCACCACCCAAGACTGGTTTAACGAGATTAGCGGCTTCTCTGAATTAGCCATCCCAGATTAGCGGAAAGACTCGGAGGTCCAGGGCTTGCAGAGTGATGTGGGCGAGGCCTCTGGTTCGTGCGCTCGTCTCTTAAGATGGCTGTCGAGATGAAGTATGTGTCACACTTGTTTACTAAAACTATTTGTTTGCCGAATTGAGCAGGGGCTCCTTACACAAGCTGGGACTTGGGCAGAAGTGTTTGCTCCAGTGCTGATCTGCTTCCCTAACCGATGGGGGCTGTCGGTGATAATTATCGAGGCCCAGCTGCCCATGCTCAGTTTGGCGCTCAGCTGTTTATGAGCTCAGGAGCTGCCTGAGATGTGAGGGTAGAGAAATGGGGGAGCTTTAGGTGCAGGGCAAGGCGTTAAACGTGGTGCCCTGGGGACGGCGACACGCTCTTGGGCCTGCATTTGTCTCCGCATGCAGAAATGTGGCGGTTGGTGCACAGGGCACCCTAGGTCTTTCACAGCCACACTGGTAGCCCAGACAGCAATGAGGCTGCTTCAATCCTGGTCCTCGTCAGGTTGACATCTTTGGGCCTCATTGTCAGATGCACGTAACATCCCAACCTTGAAGCTCGACCGCAGCATGTGCCCCTGGGCGTCAACTATCAGGGTCCTTTCCTGTGTGTCATTCAAAGTCTGTGTGATCTTTTTTATGTAAATTATTAATCATTCCCTTCAGGCAACAGTGGCTCGTAACAAAACTGCAGTTGTGCAAGGAGTAGGAGCCATAATATGCAAAGCAATGTCATAACAGTGAACCATGATACTTTTGTGTGCTGACATCATAACTATATATGCCGACCTCATAGCTGGGTTGCAAAGGGGCGGAAAATTTCTGGAAACTTTCCAGAAACTTTCCATTCCATGGGAAGTTAAGCTGGGGAACTTTGGAAATATTCCACATTGGAAACTTTCCATGGGAATTAACGGGAATATATGGGAATTAATAGGAATTAACTGGAAATTTGGGGCCATTTATACAAACTGTATCATATATAAACATAAATATAAACGTTGTGCAACCCTAACGCCGAACCGTTATACTCTAAGGCAGTTTTTCATCAGTCTTCAGGGATTCATCAGTGATTTTGCTCCCTCCCAGCTCCCTGCCAGATAGTCCATATTTTGGCTCCCTCTCAGCTCCCGGTAATGTTGACTGTCTGTGGGTCCCAGAGGACTGGATTGGGAAACACTGCTGTAAGCAGTTCATGCTGAAGTCATGATTGTGATCCCTGATACCCATAATAATATACAGTTGCATCATCAGTTTATTTTGTTGCCTGTAAGGTCCTTTTTATTGTTTTGCTAATATAAGCAAATGCACACCATTAATTATGCATTAAACCTGTTATTACTTTTCTGTAACCACATGTAAGGGCATTTTACAGTACATTATTCCACAATGCGTCGGGACGGACATAAGCCTGTCATGCTCCCCTAAATGTATTTTTTGGACAGAGGAAGCTGTCGTACTGGAAGCATTGTGCTATCAGTTTCTCTGATCATGTGACCATGTTTTGATCGGTATGTGTGTGTCAGAGTGAAGCACAGCTTACCAGCTGCAGGTGTGGGTGTTCAATCCCAGCCCAGTGCTGCCGGTCCCTGTGAAGGAGCTGGCATGTCGGAGCCGACCCCAGTGCGCCCTGTACCTCAGCGCTTCGGCCTGCCTGTCTGTTAGGTTTAGCATGTGTGCACAAATATCTTTGTTTATCTGTACATTCGGGCAAAGAAAGTTGAGCCCCAGAGGCTCCACCTGTGTCTCTGCTGATCTGCCGCTTTAGTCCCTAATTATATTACTGCCGTGAGCAGCTTGCAGCGTGAAACATCACAGGTGTGTATGACCAGGCAGGCTGCACCTCTGAGGCTCATAGGACGGCATCGTGCTCCTGATAGCGATGGTGTCCGAAAGGAGCCTTCTGTGTTTTTAGGGTGTGACGTGAATTCTGCCCGATGGTGTGTGGCCCAGCGGTCACATCACCCCACACTCCCACCTAATGAGCACCCACCCCTTTCTGTCCGTCTCCCTCCTTGCCCCCTCGCCTCCCTTTTTCCACAGATCACCAGAAGCTAGAGCGTGAGGCTCGTATTTGCCGGCTGCTGAAGCATCCCAACATCGGTGAGTGTCAGTTGGGCGCTCAGCTCCAGCAGGGGAATACAGCTAATAGAAGTGGGGTTGCCAGATCAGCTGAGATCGGGGAGGGAGGTAACAGTGGCCCTGCATGTGCTTGGGTTCAGCTCAGGGCTCCAGCCCATCGATGGGCACTCTGGGTACCTTCTGGCTGCACCGTTAGGCCCAAAGAGCCTGTGCTCGCCGCAGTCCCCCAGGCCGGACACTCTGCCTCTCACAGCGTACCCATGAGTGACACCATCTCCCTTTCCCTCCTCCAGTTCGTCTCCATGACAGCATATCAGAAGAAGGCTTCCACTACCTCATCTTTGACCTGTAAGTCGTGCACAGTGTGCGTTCCAGTCCCAGGCGGCATAACGCTCACCTCCCCTCTCCTTTGCCTCTGCTGGCCCTCCTCCTCTTCTCCTTTTCCTTTATACCGTTGCACTTCCTTGCTCCTCAACCCCTTTATCTTTTTCATCTACCTTCTCTTTTTATATCCCCTGGGCTTTATGGGTATGTTCGCTTCCATGGCAACAAGACCATCCACTGAACGGGAATCCTGCAATGGGGCTTTCCCCTTTCTCTTTGGTTGGCTGGGCTTTATCCCGTGTGGGTGTACACACGCACACGCACACGCACACACACACACGCACAGGGGAAGAGTGACACACACATCGCCGACCCCAGCTGGTTTGTAATACACACTCAGCCTGTTTGCTGACTTGTTTTCGACGTTGAACCTCAGTTGCCTCAGCTGGGTGTTTTTCTTGATCAGTTCTGCGGTACCTTTGCACATGGGTGTAACAGCAGAGCCTTTCCTGACAAACGGACCAGCCACTTCAGAGTTTGAGTCTGCCTCCTTAAGCACTACGCCACCATCTGGCTGGACACTGCGGTGCAGGAGGATCTCTCACTGGCCAGCTCTGTGATGTGTCTGCAGGGTGACAGGAGGGGAGCTGTTTGAGGACATTGTGGCCAGAGAGTACTACAGCGAGGCGGATGCCAGGTACGAGATCCACCCCCCCCCTGCACTCTCCCTCCCTCCCCTCTCCCCCCCCTCTTTTTTCCTTGTCAGCCCCTGCCCTCACTTCTTGTCTAGCCAATGTTGTCAGTAACGACCCGAAGAAGAACAAACCCAGAGAGCATCACTGACAGCCCATGTGCTGCTTTCTTTGCCAGCCCGTTGTCTGTAAATCCAGATCAGATGTGTGATGATGCTGCGCTCTCACACCTTCCTCCAGCCACATGCTGCCGGCTCTCTCCCCTTCCCTCCTTTCCTCTCCTCTCCCCCCTTATCCTCCCCCTCCTCTCTTCTCTTCTCCTCCCTCCTCTCCCCTTCCCTCCTTTCCTCTCCTCTCCCCCCTTATCCTCCCCCTCCTCTCTTCTCTTCTCCTCCCTCCTCTCCCCTTCCCTCCTTTCCTCTCCTCTCCCCC